GTCATGGACATGGAGCCACAGTACTCTAAAGTACTCGTATAGACTTTATTTAACTTATATGTTGACCCAATGGTGGGGGATTGGTCAAATTATACTTTATAGTGATTCCCCTAGATTAGTGCATTGGTTATTAACAGTGCACTGACAACCTTTTTTTGGCTCTCAAAGATCAATTTCTCAGACATGCCAAGTCACTGTACATGTTTAATAAAAATCTAATCTGTTTATTTATTTTATTTTTTATTTTGCTTTTCTAGATTGCCAATCATTCCTGTTGAACTACATTATTCATTACAATGAATCAGATGCAGAATCTTACAACTATGTTAATTTGTTCGCCTGATTGGGGAAAACCCGAGACTATTTGATCTTATATTGGAATGCCTACCAATTTTACATAGCCTCAGGCAATGTTTATATAATTAATCTTGAGTAATAGAGATGCTGTACCACCTGACGGTGTGACCTTGCTACCTGGATCATCCCACTAGGCAAGACAAGTTCAAAACTTTCCATGCAAACACTTTCATGGCAGTTAATTGCTATAATAGGATATGAATATAATTTTGCCTTGCCATGGTGGCTCGGGGGGGGGGATTTCCCTAGTACCCGGAGACCATATAAACAGGCGTTCAGATTACTGTAATAGTTTAATTGAGGTTCAAAAAAGCAGCCCCCCCCCAATGCAACTAAAAGTGGTAGGCCTGCTCTCCAAATTTAGCCCCCCTTGGAAGATGTACTGTAAAGCTAGACAATTTTACTTGTTAGTTACCCAACTTGGTGCCCTGATGCACCCTACTTTATTATTTTAATCTGTCTAACAGCAGACAATTTTACTCATCAAGGGGTGGGCACATGACTTTAAAGGGAAAGTATTAATTGGGAATACTTTCTCTTTTAATGGGAAACTCTTTATCAATAAAAGGAACAATGCAATTATTCATAGTATTTAACTTTTCATATAAAGCAGAGACTGTAAGAGGAAACATGGATCATTGGCTACTTTTTTTATTTAGTATTAATTTTCATGACAACATGTGGGGTCAACTATAAAGGAAACAGTTATTGCCTATTTTGGAATAAAAAATTTAGAATATAGCAATATTCATTGACATTGAACACATATTTATTTAGTTTTTGAATAATTTAAGTTCTTAAATGTATATAAATGTGAAATAAAATAAACAACATTTATTAAAATAAACTTTGTATTTTTAAACCCCAATTACACTGTTGTATTTACATTTCACTGTAGTATTTACACTGTCAGTAGTATTTACACTGTCAGTAGTAATTACACTGTAGTATTTACATTTAAAGACCTTAACCAACATCATTCCTTGGAGTTTCTCAACCAAGATCCTCTGGAGAACTTCTTTGGCCTCATTAGGCAGCAGGGGGGGGGGGGATTGTGACAACCCATTAGTCCCATCCAGTTCACCAGAGCATTTTGCAAATTATTTGTAGATAATATTTTGACACCACTTTCAATTGGCAGCTGTGCTGAAGATTCTGATGCCTATTTGATTGCATTTCACCCTAGCCAATCTGATTTATCTGCAGGAAATGATCAGACAAGCCCACCACTAATCCAAGCAGTTGAAGATACCGACTACAAAACAAATGAAATTGAACAAAACTTAGTCTGCATTAACTTATGTGTCAGACTATTTAGCAAGTGCCTTATCCAACATAGCTGTCCAATATGCCATCATAATTTTGTGACAAAGGATGTCAATGACAGTAGTCCCTGCTATTCTGCATGTTCAAGACCTCTGACCTTTGAAGGCATAAGCAGTGCAGGCGGATTAACAATCCGTAAAGAAACGTTTCTTTGCTGGAGAATACATTTGTGAATGTGCTTATTAAAACAGTTGCACAGAAAGTATTAAAAACATAGGTAGTTTAACTTTTAATTTTTGCTCACAAATCCCAAAGCTACATGGAACCTGATGGAAGTGTGCAATGGAAGTGTTTCAAATCAGCAACCATGCTTTCTTATTAATGTAAAAGACAGGAAAGCAATACGTTTGGCCATTAATTTAGCGAGATGGGAATCTGCTTCTTGGCAGAACATCACAAGCATTGTAAAATATGGCCATGCGGTACAAAGATTATACTGTTTTTTTTCTTTGTATTTAGCCTATAAACGTATATCTTTTTACATAAAAATAACTACTTACCATTTATCTTTCAAATTTGAGTCCCAAAATGAAGATCGGTGGAGCAACTTCGCAAAAATATTTATTTTTCTACTTTCGAACGGTGTTTTTCCTATGCTTTTGACTGAAAACACGACGAATGACACTTGCCAGAGCAATTTGCGTGGCGCGGGGAAATGACGTTGCACGGGGACACAAAGAACAAAGGAATCGCCGCGAGTTCCGCCTCTGTATACTCTGTGACAATGCCAAACATTTCTTGATTTGATGATTGATAAATTTCTTGCAAATATATTTCATTTTTGCTCGTATTTCTGCAAGATTTTGTAAATTTCAAGAAAGAAAGGGTGAAAGAATCGGCTAAAAGAAGGGAGCCAACGTTAACGAAGGTAAGTTTGTTTTAAATATTCATTTTATAATGGATTTAAAACCTGACGGCCTTTGCGTATATGAAACAACTAAACAAGACGCATATAATTTCAATGTATCTTTAATATTGATTCCCTTTTTTGTTATATTGAATTTTTTAAATAAAAAAGAAAGCAAAGTTCTTTGCAAGCGAGAATTTGAAATCATTTTATTGCAAACTCAAAGTTTATCGATAAAGCCATTTAATTAAAGGCAGTTTAAAGTTTTATAAAGAACACTTTAAAACGTTTTACGAAGCGTTTGTGGTTGAATTTCACATTAAATTGAGGCTTTTATTACGTATAATAACATACCTAACATATATGTGCTGGGAAATGGATAATTTTGTAATTAAAAATTATATTTTTAGGCGATTTTTTATTTGCAAGAATATTCTTTAAAAATTATCGTGTTACCATGACAACTACTTTAGATACTTCATGTTCGGAAAATACAATGGTTTTGTCAGCAAGGCGAGGGTTTCTGCATGCATGTATTTTCTAGTCAAATAAAAATGTCCGGTCGAAATCACATTCTTTCACCGTTTGGGAATTGCATGGAAAACGAAACATAGTCAATTCCCAAGAGGGAATTAAAATTGAATGTTAAATTGTCTAAAATAAGCTCAAGTCACCAGTCTTCGTCTTAATGGAACAATAAGAACGTCATTAAACACTGTTCAATTAATAACCACTGAACAAAGAACATTCATAATCAAAACGTTTTACGAAACAAATAGCTTGCAGCAGACTCGCGTTGCTTTTGGATTGATTAACTTAATTTGCATAATTAATCATTTTCAATTCCCAAACGTGGAAGAATAAAGGAATACCGAATGGTTTTCCGTGCAGGATTGCGTGATCCATGCACGCGGGATGTTGCGAGACTTTCGGAAAGCGTAAAAATACACGAGCCGTAGGCGAGTGAATTAACCAATCAGAGAATCGCTACTCCACGTTATTGAAAAAAACAACATATGTGAACAGAATTTGATCGCAAATTCGCGAAAATATACAGCGAAAATACAGGGACTTTTTCGATAAAATATACGAAATTTGAAATGGAAAACCCGCTAAACAGAGAGCCAAAGTAGTTTTCCATCCTCGTTCCCAGGGTCTTTAAGAAAGACCCCGGTATCGGCTGGTCACGTGCCTCGTCCAAAATTGATTGCCCGAGGGGGGTGTGGTGAAAGTATCAAATTACAAACAGTTAAAAACATAAATTTTGCGAACTATTATACCAGTAAGTTCAAAATATTTGCTAATTTTTGTTTATTTTATTTGCTTTGAATTTACAAGAACATTTTTACCAACAGTCAAGTCAAGAAACCAAGCAAATCGTTACTCGCAGTGCTCTCTCGTGTTATTATTATTCAATGCTCTCTTCACATTCGTGCGCGGTTTTATAACAAACGTTTATGGGCTATTCAGTGGTCACATTTCTACATATCTAATGTTTTTAAAACACGTATTAGATTTGTCCTTTTTTGCAAACGTTGCTATGCTTTGCACGTCTTGTTTATAAGATTTTTAAAAGAAACAGTATTGTACAATTGTATTGTCTAGGACTAGAGAGTAGAGCTCAATATCAGTAAATGTAAACATTTGATACTAGCCAAACAGAGAAATGTCTGTCAGTGATTTATCTTTAAAATTTTGGATTTAGTACATAATTCGTATTCATTATAATTATAGTAAGGCTTTACCCTTTTTCTTGGTCAGATAATATTTTCCTAATATGCACACAACTAGGCTATAAATTATCTACATCACAAATTTACAGTGTCAGTACAGTGTCAGACGCGCAGACTGCCATACGAATACACGTAAATTTTCAAGTTTTCTACTTCTACTAAGGCTACTATCAGTTTTCATTGCGTCTCAATCATCTGTTTATTTCTAGTTCAATAAGTTCATTTATATTTCTATATTTATTTGATAGTGGCATACATGTAGGCTATTTACACACAAGCAATCCTGGATATGATAGAGACGATACAAGGTGTCCATTAAAAAATAACGGTATTCTATTTCACAAAGCAAAAAATTTTAAATCTCACTTGTATTATTAAGAATATATATAAAGCAGAGAATTAAAGCTTGTGTCAAAACGAAAGCTGTTTATAAAATTTGTAAATGTGGTATAAACACAATAGTAAACAGTAAGACAAATATGTCGTTTGACTTATCTTTGATGTATGACTTTACTGTAATACCGTAGATTTTCAACACACAGCTAGACTTTGACATATATACCATGATCGTTGAGATCTTGCAGGAAATTTTAGTCTTTTGACGGGATTTAAGTTTTGTGATAAGGCATTTATAATCAACAATCTCGATACAGTTGGCGTCTTGGCCGTTTAGCGATATTTCGGAATTCGGAAATCAAAAGATCTCGCTATTTTGTTCCAATTCCACATCTCATCAATAAATATATTCTTTTGGTTCGAGTATCAGGATATACTTTAATACTAACAGTTAAATAAATATAAACCACATTGGTCGGTCTAGAGATACGCATTTTCTTGTAGGCTTTAAATTAATACTGCCACGCCGCCGAGGCGTGCTTTCTTTGGCAAGTCTATAAGTTGAAATCTGATCCAACTTGCTTGAATTGTAACTCGACACTAGATTATAGAGTAGAAAGTCACATCACGATAAATATTAATTTTTAATTGCAGTTCTCTTCACGATTTCTTGTTGCAAATTTAAATTTCATC